CTGTCCAAATTACCTGCACACCACTTCGTGAGCCCGTGTTGTTCTGAACTTTTAGTTCTGCTATGTGTACAAGACCGATGACTGAGATGACCTTGCCCGCCAGCATTCTCACCCTCCTGCTATATAGTTCGACCAAATATCCTTGCCGTCCGACATTCAGGACACTGCATGTGCTGGTGCCAACAGCACCATCACCGCACAGTGCTGCAATCAGGTCAACGGCACGATGGCTAGTCAAAGCGGTCAGCAATACTTCCTTACAAACGAGTTCGACGCTTTCCAAAAGTGCTCCACCCAGTCCGTCCGCAAAACCGGAAAGTTCAATACGGCCACCTCCCTGAAGACCAAGGCTTTCGCCACACTTCTAGTTGCTGCAGCCGCAATCGCTCCGACGTACGTGTCTGCTTCGTCGCTGGCGTCTCAAGTCAGTCCGGATGCGATCGAGCCCCCTGTTTGCAGCGGTAAGCAGATGCTGGTCGGCGATGGAAACCCGCATCAGAACTTCAACTACCGTCAAGTCACTCAGAACCTCGAGTGCGGCAGCGGAGGATGCAGCACCTCCGAACTTGACTTGCACACCTTCGGCTGGACTGCAACTGTTTCGGGTGCCGAATTTATCGGGTTCAGCGCTGGCGTCAGCGAGTCTTGGACCTCGGGTCAGACGTACACCTGCTCTATCAGCGATGGAACCGTCTGTCTTTGGGTCAAGCAGGCCAACACTGCCGTTACGATCGGCAAGTACCATTGTTATGGCACCAACTGTGGATGCCACCAGACGAGCACCTTTGTCGAGCAGCAGCCAAACAACAACAATCAGGGTGGCGAGTATCAGTGCAGGTACAATAGCAACTGCACCTATCTCGGCGACAACTATTGGGACTACAACGGCTGCGCCGGCGGTCCCTGAAGCAGCAAAGCCCGCGACCCATGATGGTTCCCATCATAGTCGCCCAAGTGTATTGTCAGATCCGGATTCTTTCGAAATGAACTGGCCGTGGCGCAATTGGCATGGGCGTTCAGAACGAGCATCTTAGATCGTCTTCTAACGAAAACGAGCCCACCGACAACTCCGGCTGTGCGAGGACGGCCCGATTCGAGGCCGAGAGGTTACCCTCATATCATTGTAGACAGATCGTCGTGTCGGACGCCTGATCCGCAGAACGTCAACTGGACCGGCACACTTCAGGGGAAGCCAGTTGCGACGCAGGAGGAGAGAGATACGAGCCCACACTTGATTGAGAGGATTGCCGGCGGATAGTGCAAGTGCTTGTTCGGTATTGTGCGCGCCGATGGCAGCTATGTATGACATATTTGATGAGGGTCAGAGGAAGAGCGAACATCGTCCAAGCCAGACTAGGCTGTCTCTAGGGTGAATGCAAAGTTCGCGTGGACACCCGCGTGGGCGAATCGTCGCGTGGTCGCCCGGGATTCGAGATATCAGGAACAAGACGACGCGTCCAAAAATCCGCTAAAATGATAGCGGCCACGGAGCTATTCGAGGGAAGCGGGGAACTCTCCGCTTGACGCAAGACCAGAGCAGGTTATAACAGCCGGAGCATGCTAAAGAGACCCCGCCGCCTCCTTCTTCAGCTGCTCGCACCCACGCTTCTTAACTCCCAAAGCACAACATGTCCAACATGTCGCGTCCAACGCTCCCGTCCAGCATCCAAGGCACTGCCTGCGCTGCACCGAATGCCACCCTCACGACCTCATGTTGCACTCAAGTCAACGGCACCATGGCTAGCCAGCAAGGCATGCAGTACTGCCTGACAAGTCAATTCGCAGCTTTCCAAATATGCTCGAACGAATCGATTTGCGAGACTGGCAAGTTCAACGCTGCTGCATCCACATCTGTCTCTATCACGGCCAAGGCGCTTGTGGCGATGCTTGTCGCTTCCCTCGCATTTGCGCTCACTCTCGCACCACCTTCCATATGAGAAGATGCGACCTGGTCTGCTGCGTTTACAAGTCGTCCATGAGCTCTCAATCTCGGCCTAGACCAGCAA